GCTCACTCCACCTTGCCAGCCCTTTGAAGATGAGGATATAGGGCTGTGCGACGAGAGCAGCGTCCCCTGGACGTGCTTTTAGATGGATCCTTGTTTCTGGAGGGACAGATCCCCGGGTTTCCAAGAAACTGGGCAATGAATCATCAGCCTTGAGACGAGCAGGCTTTGGGTGCCAGTTTGCTGCCTGCCAGGGGTGGGGAGCTGCCATCTGGACTGTTGCACAGTTGGATCGGCTTAGCACGACTGTCGCCGCATCTCTGGCAGCAAATGTGGCGTAGCTTGGGGGGGCGCAGGGAGAGCCAGGCACTGAGACAGGCTGTGCACTTAAATTGTGACGAGTGGCTCTAGGCACAGCTTTGGCACAAGCCGCTCTGCGTTAGGCATTGTCTGAGTGCCACTCGGGCCAGGGCCACCTCCAAAAGGCACTTGGTGCCTTTTGTGGTCAGCTGCTTCCTCTAGCAGAGAGGGACAGGCTGGATCCCACCTCGCTCATCAACGTTGGTGTCAGCTGGAGTGAAAATGCTGGGTCACAGGACAGGCCATCTGGGCACACTGTGTCTCCTCTCATCCCCTTCCAGATTGCCCGGGATTTCAATCCAAACTGGATGAGTGCCGTAGAGATCCTGGACGACGACAACTTCTTGGGAGCAGAGAACGCTTTCAATTTGTTTGTGTGCCAGAAGGACAGGTGAGCTGGCTGCGAGGGGGACGTGGCGATGTGTGGCAGGGAAGCTGGGAGGAGCAGGGCGAAGCTTTCCTGTCAGCCCAGCACTGACTGAGCAAGGCGCTTTGGATTTTAGCGCGGCCACGACCGATGAGGAGCGCCAGCACTTGCAGGAGGTGGGGTTGTCCCACTTGGGAGAGTTTGTCAACGTCTTCTGTCATGGATCTCTGGTCATGCAGAACCTGGGCGAGACATCCACGCCGACACAGGGCTCGGTTCTCTTCGGCACAGTCAACGGCATGATCGGTAAGGGTCGGGTCCCCCAGCCTGAGCTGGAGGGTGACCAGTCCACTTCCCTGCTGCTGGGCTTTCCTCCTGTCTCTGTCAAGTGACGCTCTGTGCCGTACTCCCCTCAGAAATCTGCTTTTCTCTCTGGATTGCTTCCAGGAGAAGAAAGTGCTCTGGCTTTCTTTGAAACTCCTCTTTTATCCCAGCTCTCTCGGGCACCAACTTCCAGAACAATTCCAGTCCCAGCAGCCTGCCACTCCCTGCCTGCTGGGAGCTGCTGGGATGCCCTGGGGTGAGCCCTGAACCTTCATCTCCGTTTTGCCTTTTGCAGGACTGGTGACCTCGCTGTCGGAGAGCTGGTACAACCTCCTCCTGGACATGCAGAACAGGCTGAATAAAGTCATCAAGAGCGTGGGCAAGATTGAACACTCCTTATATCCTTTTGCAGGAGCCTGGGCCGGTCAATGCTAGGGGCTGGCTTGTGAATTTGGTCCTAGCCAGGCGGGGGATGGGCTGTTGGGGGTTTTATCTCTGTTGCGACACGGGTGGGAGCGTTTTTTGCCAGGTGTCCAGGTCTTTGTGCTTGCGGAGAAGGTGCCTGTGGTAAAGAGGGGAGGCTATTTTGCAGGGTTTGAGGATGAATCTGGCTTTGTGGTAGCCCTAAAAACACAACACAAATTCGGTGATCCCTCCTGACCCAGCCTTGCGAGCCTGGGGTGGCCACTGCCTGCGTCCCCAGTCTGGGACTGGTGTTACCACGTGTGGATTTGGCTCCTTGACTGGCGGCACCTGGAGATCGTTTCACACCGAACGGAAGACCGAACCGGCGACAGGATTCATTGACGGCGACCTGATTGAAAGCTTCCTGGACATCAGCAGGCCCAAGATGCAAGAGGTGGTGGCAAACTTGCAGGTGAGACAAGTGATGGGAGCTTTTAGGCCCTTCCAAATTAGCAGCAGGGTGACCCTGCTCAGGAACCCAGGCTGCAGGGAACCCTTGGTTCATGCCTTTCTCTGAGCCGATGATCTGGGAGCGTTTTTCAGCACCTCCTGCTCCATGCTCTGATACCATTTTTTTTTTTTTTTTTTTTTCCTTGCAGATTGACGATGGCAGCGGCATGAAGAGGGAGGCCACCGTAGACGACCTGATAAAGATCGTGGAGGAGCTGACCCGGATCCATTAGCAGGATTCCAGCTTCCTCCACCTAGAGCAAGGGAGTCTTCCCCACCTGCAGCTCGGGGAACCCCTGCCCAGCTGCACCGAACACCTGCAGTGGTGGCCCTTGCCCGAGGGGACATGGGGGAAGGAGTCTCCGAAGGGGAGCCACCTTGCTGGGGATTGGGGGGGGGGGGGGGGGGTTGGGCAGGCACCCCATCATTGCCTGCTTGGATTCACGAATCCTACGGACTCGGCTGCTGACCCAGAACTGGGCTTTGCTGGTCGCTCTTGGGTGACTGACCGGTAGCACTCGGCTGAGGCCGTGCCCTTGCCTGGATTCACTCTTCACTGTTGTCTTTAGTATGTTTTTGTTTTGTTTTTTCTTTCTTTTTCAGCTTCATTTTTGATCCTATTTGTTTCATTGTGGGTTTTTTTCGAAGAGGTGAAGCTGCCTCGTAGGGTGAGGGCTGGAGGAAGCATCTGGGGCTGGCGAGACATGTGGTCGTGGATGAGAGAGGATTTCTCTACGTCTGGGGGACAAAGCCGAGTGGGCCAAGCTCGCTCCTCTCTCCACAGGATCTGTGGCTCGCTCAGGGAGGGAAGCTCTGGGAAGCTCAAGCAGTTGTTGCGTTTTGAGTTGTACCAAATAAAGTAGTCCAAGAGGAAAGGTCTGTCTCCTGTTGCTGAGTTCCTCACCTGTGGTACCTGCTGTGCAGAGCCAGGTCCTCAGCCGGCCGTGGGGATCCCCTTTTCCCAGCCAAGGTGGTTTCTGGAGTCTTCCCCCTCCTTAAAGCTCAAGGTGCTGGGGTGCAAGTCTGCTTTCCAGATGTGTTGGTTTATGGCTTTTTTTTTTTGACTTCAAGAAATTGTCAGGCAGCCTTGTGCTGATAACTCGCTGGTCCAGGCCCTGGGCCGCTGCTCCTTGCTCGCGGGGGCTCACGCTGAGGGTAATTCTGGTTCCCACCCCCGCTCCACAGGTGCACTGTGGCTGCCTGGGACAGCACTTCTGTATTAATTAATAATTATTCTTCCTCTACTCCATTTGGCTGTGCTGTAACTTGTCCAAGCCTGGGGCTGCCCCTGCCTCCCTGCTGCCCTCACCTCGCATTTGCTGCCAAAAATGCATGTGAGGGTGGCAGAGGCTCTCCTCTTCCTCTTCCTCTTGGTTTTCTCTGGGGCTCTGTCTCCTCTCTCCCCACCTGAGCCAGCCTAGATCTCACCTGACACTCAAACCCTGTCCGTAACCCTCCCTGTTAAGATCCCCCTAGTCCCATTCTGGGCAGCTCTATCCCCAAAACCCCCTCCCTGCAGCAGTGAGAGGTGGGCAGCGTCCCGTAATAGACAAGTTCATGGCAAAAGCATCCTCAGGGTCCTGCGAACATCTTTTAACAGTTGGGCAAGCCCTGGTTTCTCGGAGGAGGTTCTCTTTGGACATCTCTCTGTCCAGAGAGGTTTTTTAGGATTGGGAGAAGCGGACTCTGTGTTCCACCCTTTGCAAGCAGACACTATCTTTATTTACTTGGGCCTTTGGGCTCAGCGTTTGCCCGGAGCTCCTTCTTTTCTTTGCTCCTTGAAATTGGGGGGGTCCTGGGGAGCACCCCGGGCTCTGGAGCCCAGCACCACTCCCCTCTGCACTATCCTGGGGATGCTGGTGCTGATGTGATGCTGGCACCTTTCCCCCTTTGGTTTGTTTTTTTTTTTGTTTTGTTGTGTTTTTTTGTTGTTTTTTTGGGTTTTGTGGGTTTTTTTGTTTTGTTTTTTTTTTAATTTTGTGTGCAATCAGCCTCCTGTGGCTGGCTGAGGAACGCTGCTGGCCTACGGGTGTTTATCCCGTGTCACTGGCCCCGCTCCAGCCCTGTTTGCGCAGCCGCTTCCCTGGGCTGGGAGCTGGGGTCACGTCCCCTCTCCCAGGGCCGGGGGTTTCCTCCTTCCCCCCCCCCCCCAAGCTCTGGCTGCCCTGGGGGTCCCGCACCCCTCGAGCTGGCATGTGCACCCCACCCAGCACCCACTAACTCTTAATTTCCAAGCATTCAGGGGGTGATGCTACAGGGAAAGGCCCATGCCTGGTGCTGGGTGACCCCAACCCTTGAGCAGGGGGAAAGCTGCAGTTCTGGGGGGAATCCGTGCCGGATGGGGAACTGGAGGCTGCGGGTTGGTGAGGCTGCAGGGATCGACCCCATCTCTGCCCTAACCCGGGGCCGGCAGCGCCAGCCCTTTGCTCCCTGATATAAATCATTTACCTGCCTGCGACCTTCGCTTCAGCCCCCAGCCCAGGAAGGATTGAGGGGGCCAGGGGAGGGAGGGAGGTGGGGGGGAGGTTTGGCTGTGTGTGGGGGTTGACCCCGTGCCTCGGGTGCCCCCCAGCATCCTGTGGCCCCTCTCCCTGCCGGGTGCACCCCATTATCCCCGCTCCACTTTGGCCCCTTTATCTGCTGTGTTGCTCCTCTTTGGTGGGTCCCTGTGCAGGGCTGGGAAGGCGGCCCAGTGCCGCCAGGAGGAGGAGGAGGAGGAGGGGTGGGGAGAGGCCATGCCGGAGCTTTGCCAGATGTGGGAAAGGAGAGAAAGGGGGGACGCTTTCGCTGCTGCTTCCCACCGTCTTGGGGATCCCCCTCCCTCACCCCATCCTCAAGCCACAGGGATGGAGCCGCTCGCTTCGGCCAAGCGAACCAGCCTTGGGGTTGGGTGAAGGGGAGGGGGTTGAGCATCCCCAGCCCAGCGCGTTCCCCCCAACCCGGGGTGGGTGGAGAGCCGGGTGCCGAGGGTTTTCCCCCCGCAGCGCTCCCCGCTCTCGCCTCCCTCCACCCCCCGCATTGTTCCCGGCCCGGCGGGCGGGAGGAGGAGCAGGGCCAAGGGCCAGCATGCGGTAGGCGCCCGTGCCGCCGAGGCAGGCAGGAAGGCAGGCAGGAAGGCAAGCGCTGGGAGCGTGCCGCCGGCCCGACGCGCCTGTCATGTTGGTCTTGCTGCTCTTCCAACTCGCCTGGGTGTCCCTGTTCCTCCCGAGCGGCCAGGGCAGGGTGTACCCCGGGAGGAAGAAGCCGGCCAGCTTTGCTGTGGAGAGGTAGCCGGGTTCCCCGCTCTTTATTTTTATTTCCCCCCCTCCCCTTCTCCCTCTCGCAGCTACACCTAAGGACGGCAGCGTGCCACGCCGAGAGCTCCGGCCATCCGCCCCCTCAACTGCCTTCAGGGCTCTGGCTGTGCGCCCCAACCGGAGGGGCTGGCACCCCACGCGTCCCTCCCTCTGCCCCGGGCTGGCTGGGACCAGGGGAGCATGACCCTTGTGGGGGCAGGGGGGGGGTGTCCTCCTCCCCACATCCTGCTTTGGGGGGACATTTCTCCCCTGTTTCGCGTGTTGGGGTGTTGGGGCATGGTCCGCTTCCTCTGTTCCACCTTATTTTGGGGTTGCACTGCACCCTAGTTCACCCCGTGGCTGCCTCCCTCTGGAGCCACGCCGTGCTCTGCTGCAGCCGTGGGTCCCTGTGTGTCCTCACATTCCCGGGGTGCAGAGGGGTCCCCCGGGGACCTTTGCTCTTCCCTGGGGGGCTCGGGGCAGGGTGGCCTTCAGCCTCTCCTCCCCGCCGCAGGCGCCGCGTGGGGCCCCACGTTTGCTTTTCAGGCTTCGGCAGCGGATGTTGCCCCGGGTGGATGCTGTCCCCAGGCAGTGGGCAGTGCACCCTGCGTGAGTACGGGTTTTGAGGGGAGCGTGGGGTGGGTGTAGGGGGGGGGGGGTGTGTCCCTGCCTTCATCCTGACGACCGCCTGTCCCCGCTCCCCGCAGCGCTTTGCTCTTTTGGCTGTGGCAGCGGCTTGTGCGTCGCTCCCAACCTCTGCTCGTGCCCGGATGGAGAGCAGGGCATCACCTGCCCAGGTACCACCCGCTCCCCGGCATGCCAAAAACAGGTCGTTCCTTGTCACCTCTCCCCGCAGCATCCCCCAGCACAGTCCCCAGCCCTGGCAGGGGTAGGGGTGCTCCTGAGGCGGGGTGCAGTCCCTAGGGGGGGGATCCGGGGAGCGGGTGCCACAGCGCAGGGCTGGAGTGGGAGGGGGGGTGGGCGCTGGGGTGGCATCGGTGCCCTGTGGATCCGTGTTTTAGAGCTGCCAGGGACGTGCGGGGAGTATGGCTGCGACCTCTCCTGTAACCACGGCGGGTGCCAGGAGGTGGCCCGCGTCTGTCCCCTCGGCTTCTCCATGGTGGAGACGGCCAACGGCGTCCGCTGCACCGGTGAGCCAGGATGGGGATGTTCCCGGCGGGATGATTTGGGGGAGGGGGGGTGGGGGGTGGGGGGCACTTCCGTCACCTCCAGCGCCTCCCCGCTCGCCCCCCCAGACATCGACGAGTGCCTGAGCGCTGCCTGCGAGGGTCTCTGCGTCAACACCGAGGGCGGCTTCGTCTGCGAGTGCGGCCCCGGCATGCAGCTCTCCGCCGACCGCCACAGCTGCCAGGGTGCGTGCTTGGGGGGGCAAGTGGGGGGCAAGCGGGGGCTGCTGACCCCCCAGCCTCTTCCCCCCACCCCCCCTCAGATACGGACGAGTGCCTGGCCACGCCGTGCCAGCACCGCTGCAAGAACAGCATCGGCAGCTACCGCTGCTCCTGCCGACCCGGCTACCACCTCCACGGGAACCGGCACTCCTGTGTGGGTGAGCACCACGCGCTGGCCCCCCTCTTCCCTCTCCGTGCCACGAACCCCAGGGGATGGAGGTGGCCACTGAACCCATGCCGACACTTTCTCCTCATCTTCGTGTGGGCCATACTGGGAGGGGACAGCTCGGTGCACTGGGCTCCCCTCCTTGAGCCATTTCCCGGGGTGCCAGCACCTCCTGCCCGGGCACTGCCAAGTCCCCGTGTCCCTTAGATGTCAACGAATGCCGGCGGCTGGGAGAGCGCCGAACCTGCCAGCACTCCTGCCACAACACACCGGGCAGCTACCTCTGCTCCTGCCGCCCCGGGTACCGGCTCAGCGGCGACAGAGTCTCCTGTGAAGGTACCCGGCTCCTTCTCCGGGCCCGGGAACGGAGCAGGATGCTCCCATGGGATGCTCCCAGCTCCCTGCCCACCCCAAGCACTGTCTGTTCCTTCCTTTTTAGGCTACCCCAAATCCATCCTGGCCCCATCGCCCATCCTACAGTCCTTGCAGCATCCGCCCACCCTCGTCCTGCTCCCCCCTGGCTCTGGGGGACCCCTTGTGCTCCCCAGGGGCTCCCCCTCACCCCACCTCCCTGCCTCAGCTCCTGGTACCCAATTCCCTCCCTCCTCTCCTGCCCTGGCCACGGAGCCATCCCCACATGGTACCTCCACCCCACCGGCCCCTCGCTGTTGGTACCGGGGGGCCTCCCGGGAGCCTGGCGCTCGCTGGACGGAGCCGGGGTGCCGGAGCTGTACCTGCCAGGTTAGCACCCTATCCTCCCCACACCTCGCCCCGCTGCACCCCCCCGACATTGGGCTGAGCCTGCGTGTGCCCTCACAGGGGGGACGGGTGCTCTGCGAGGCCGTGAGCTGCCCCATAACCTGCTCCCACCCACTGCCCGCCCCGGCTGGGGGCTGCTGCCCCAGCTGTGCAGGTGAGGCCTGAACCCCCACCCCAACAGCCCCACGGCCTCGGGGTGACCCCCCCCCCCACCCCCCACATTAACCCACCTGCCTTACAGGCTGCTTGCATGAGGGGGTGGCCCGGGCTGAGGGTGACGTTTTCTCCCCATCTGATGGGAACTGCACTGTCTGCGTCTGCCTGGTGAGCCCACGTCGGCCCAGGGCGGGATGGGGGTGGGAGCATCCCGCCCCTACATCTCCCCTCATCCCCCCCTCAGCCTGGGGATTGCCTCCAGGATGCCCTGGCATCGTTCTCCCCGGGGTGAGGAAGGGGTGCGTTGCCCCTTGGCTGCCCCTTGACAACCCCACATTCTCCTCTGTAGGCTGGTAACATCTCCTGCATCTCCCCGGAGTGCCCCCCGGGCTCCTGCCCCAGCCTCTCACCAGTCGACTGCTGCTCCTGCCAACCAGGTGGGACCCCCAGCCCCTGGGAATGGGGGGTTTGGGGTAGGGGGGCTCAGCAGGAGCCATGCTTCGCTCCCCGACCCCCCCTTGCCTCTCTCCTCCCCAGCAAAGTGCAGTTTTCGGGGTCACACGTACGCACACGGCGCCCGGTTCAGCCTGGAAGGGGACGATTGCACCATCTGCGTCTGCCGGGTAGGTCCCAGGGGGGCAGGTCCCCAGGGATGTTCCAGAGCTTCCCTGCACCATCCTGCTGGGGGGTAGGGGGGGGTCCAGCCTTTGCTTGGGGTTGGGTCCCGCTGCGGGGGTCAGCAGGTGACACGTCCCCGTGTCCCCAGGGTGGCGAGGTGGAGTGCTCCTTCACCCCGTGCCCTGTGCTGGATTGCCCACTGCACCAGCGGCAACTGGGCCCCGGGCAGTGCTGCTTCACTTGCCGGGACCCCCCAGCCCCCGCCGGTGAGCCCGCACTGGGGGGCAGCAGGGGACAGGCAGGGCAGGGTGTGGGGGGACAGCTGGGGACAGGGAGAGGGGGAAGCGGTGGGCAGCTGAGGGACAGGACAGGGGCAGTGGGATGTGGGGGATATTTGGGGGTAGAGAGGGTGGGGTGTGGGGGGACACTTGGGGATGGGGAGGGTGGGATGGGGGGGGACACTCAGGGATGGGGAGGGTGGGATGTAGGGAGACACTTGGGGATGGGGAGGGTGGGAGGTTGGGAATACCAGGACACAGGGAGGGTTGGATGTGGGGGACCTGGGGATAGGGAGGGCAGGTGAAAGGGGGGTGCACGGGGACTGGCAGGGGGGCTGCACTGCCATGGGGTTTGGAGGTGGGGAGTGGGTGCAGGACGCGAACTGCACACGGGTCCAGCGGTGCATCAGGAGGGCGATGGGCTGGGGGTGTCCCTGTCCCCCTGTGTGTGTGTGTCCCCCTCCCCAGGTTGCTTTGTGGACGACAACGGGGTGGAGTTTCCCATAGGACAGATCTGGTCTCCGGGCGATCCCTGTGAGTTATGCATCTGCCAGGTGAATGAGAACCTGCTCTGCTTCACTCCTCCTCCCTGCCCCTGCCCTGGCGCACGGCTCCTGGTCCCCTCCTTCCCTCGGGATGCCAGGCTGCTCGTGGGCCGTGGTCCCCGCCAGCTCCCCCAGCTTTATGGGCTTTAAACCCTGCGGTTTTGGGCAGCCCGAGGTCTCGGTCAAGTGCTTCTCCCCCGCAGGCAGACGGCTCGGTGAGCTGCAAGAGGACGGATTGCGTGGAGACCTGTCCCTACCCCATCCGCATCCCCGGGCAGTGCTGCCCCGACTGCTCGGCAGGTGATGGAGTTGGGGGGGGTGCTTGTCGGAGGGGTGCTGGCCCCTCTGCATCCCCCCCTCTGCATCCCCCCCCTTGCAGTCCTGGACAGGGCCAGAGCCAGCAAGCCTGGGCTTAAGCAGAGAGGTCTCCCGGGGGTCCCCAAGCTGCTTGGGGACCACAAATGCCCCTCTCCTCCCCGCAGGCTGCACCTACATGGGAAGGATCTTCTACAACAACGAGACCTTCCCCTCCATCCTGGACCCCTGTCTCAGCTGCATATGTCTGGTGAGGGCTACACCAGGGTCCACGAGACGGTTGTTTTTGGATCCTGCCCCATGGGCTGAGCCCCAGTTTTTTCCTCCATTGCAGGAAAAAGCTGCTGGGCGTTTCTGGCCTGCCCCTTTTTTTTTCCCCCAGCCCACCCTGGCGGGCTTTAACGCCCGGCCCTCGCGCGTCTCTCCTGTCTCTCGCAGCTGGGCTCGGTGGCCTGTTCGCCTGTGGACTGTGCCATCTTCTGCACCTACCCTTTCCACCCCGAGGGCGAGTGCTGCCCCGTCTGTAACGGTACGAGCCATGAAAGGGGTGAGGGGAAGGGGGAAATCAGGGAGTGTCCCCCCCCCCGTGAGTCCCCCACCATGCGCTGAGTGCTGCCTCGCTCCCCGCAGACTGCAACTACCAGGGTAGGAAGGTGGGGAATGGCCAGACCTTCACCCCCGAGGGACAGCCCTGCACCCGTTGTACCTGCCAGGTGAGCTGGGTGCCCCTGGGGTGCCCGTGCCGGTAGCAGAGGGGACCGGGAAGGGGATAACGGGGGGCTTGCTCACCCCCCAACTTGTCCCCTCGGTGCCAGCTCGGGGAGGTGAGCTGTGAGAAGAGGCTGTGTCCCCGCTCCTGCGCAGAGCTCGCCGCGCTGCCCGCTGCCTGCTGCCCCCCCTGCCAAGGTAATGGGGATGCCCGGGCTCCGGAACGCTGGTGGGACATGGCTGGGACAGTTGGGTGCCCCTCCGCCTCCTCGTTCAGGCTGGGGTGTCCCAGGGGAGAGGTGGGTGCTAACCAAGAGCATCTCTCCATTAGCTGCAGATGTCCAGCTCCCGCTGCAGAGCAGTGACCTGTCCTTGTCCCCATCCCACCAGGACTCACCCACCGTCCCCCACAGCCCCCCAGCATCAACCCGGACCCCCCGCCACCGCCTGGCCCAGCTCCTGCTCCCCACCACAGCCCCTCTCGGCCCCTCTCCGGGGAGTACAGGGGGTGGGGAGCCCCCTCCAACCACGCTGAGCCCTCCCGGGCACCCACCGACAGCCACTTTGCCCTCAGAAACCTGCTCTGAGGCCGCAGCCCCCCCAGCTCCCACAGGCACCCCCAGCTTGAGCCCCGAGCCTCAGGGACCCACCGGGGACACGGACCCCTCGCCCGTGTCACCGGCCAGCGCGGAGAGCCCCGGGGGACATGCAGCTCCCTAAGGGCTCAGATGCCATGCGTGCCTGGCAGGGGCTGAGCAAGAGGAGGATGAAGAAGGGGATGAAGGAGGAGAGGAAGAGGAGGAAAGAGGGGGTTTACAGGACCAGCAGGCCTGGCCCACCAGGCCCCCGGGGTGGTGGGTGGCTGGGGAGGGGGGTGCTAAGCAGGCCAGGGTGGGCAACAGCATCCCCACTCCCACGGGTGCGTCCCCGCTCCCACGGGTGCAAACCCACTCCCACGGGTGCACGGGCACCATCCGTCTCTCGGGCAGAGGCTGCATGGTCCCCATCTGCCCTGGGGTTCTGGGGTCCCCCAGCCCCTCACTGCCCCACTGAGGCAAGACTATGGGGCAGGATCAAACCCCACCACCCCCTCCTCTGCCTTGCACGTCCCCGGCTCTCTGGGTGCAAGGATGTGGGGCTGGGAGATGCTCCTGGCCAGGCTTGGGGGTCCCCAAGCCAGGCCCCCCAGTTGCAGCACATACCCCTCCCCAGGGTGGGTGCTGCAACTGGGGTGGGGAGGGGATGAGTTGCCCTCCCTGCCACCAATAAAGTCACCCTGGTATTTATACCCTGTCCCCCTCCTTCTGCTTGCACCCGCCAGCACACTGAACCCAGCCATGGGGCTTTCCCTCAGGGGGGCGGTTTGGGGTGTGTGGCCCCCCCAAGATGATGAGGGCAGTGCCGGAGGTGTTCAGCCCCTCTGTCCTGAGTGGGGTTTGGGGACAAGAGGGACGTGTCCTACTTCAGTGGCAGAACCATGGTTGGGGATTTCATCGCTGGGGCCTCTGCAGGCTGGTGCTGAGGGAGCGGAGCTGAGCTGGGGAATGAGGGGATTTTGAGGGGGGGGCTGGCACCAGATTTGGGGTGCTCCTGGTTGAGACTTGACAGGGGTCTGGCCTGAGCCAAGGGCCAGAGCCTGGGAAACGCTTGCAAGGTGCTGAGCGTGGTGCTGGCCCCGCAAAAGGGCTCTACCCCGGGAGATGGTGAAAATACAGAGCCCCGGCTCTCGGCAGCGTCACGGGGGCTTATTCAGGCCACATCCAGCGAGGAGAGATGGTGCTTAGAGGCACAAAGCACACCCCCCAGCATCAGTTTGGGGCCCCAGCATCCCAAAAGTGGCCATCGGGTGCTGGCAGGGGCAGAGCCGCAGCCGTGCTCCCATCCTGGTCCCCCATGCCACCGCCACAGCCAGCTCACGGCGTGCCTCATGGGGATGGAAAGGAGTGGGTTTTGGGGGTCCATGGGGTTGGGGGGAGACATGATGGAGCACCAGGCACCCCAATAAAGCCTGCTCAGGTGCTCTTTGTGGCTGTGGGCACCTCCAGGCATTGGGAAAGGGGTTTAGGGAGGACCAAGGGCATCATCAGTGTGAAGACAGCGGGAATGGCAGCGCCGGCATCACCGAGCCAGCCTTTCCCTGAGAGATGCGACACGGGGGAGCTTTTCCACCGTTTTATTGTGCTCGGTGGCCATGGCAGGAGGGGGACGGCAGCGTTGGGCAAGGGTCAACCACGCCAGTCACCAAGGTGGGGACGCTGGGGCAGCGAGCCGGGCCGCCTGTCCCTGTCCCCAGCACGAAGGCACGCTCAGGGCAGTGGGGACAGCCCCACCATGTTGTTGGCCCTGTTGAAGATCACGTAGTACTCGCGGATGAAGACGTCCCCCAGGATCCAGAGCTCGCCTGACTCGGTGGGGATGTTCATGCCTTGGAAGCCGAGGATGCAGTACCCGTTGCTCTGCAGCCAAAAACATGGTTACCCGCTGCCAGACACCCCCTCCCAATCCCCTCCCCAGTGGGATGCTCACCTCCACCACGTAGGCACTGGGTGGCACGGGGAAGGCTTGGCCGTTGATGTAGAAGACAATGTCAGGCAGGCTGCTGACAGCCTCACAGCTGATCTGGGGCAGGGGGGGGACACAGCAAGTCGGGGTCAGCGGTCACCTCAGGAGGGACCCCATGCCCCCAGGAGCAGCCCTGGGGTCCAGCAGGTCACCCTGCAGAACCCCAAAGGTCCCCAAAGTCCTGAGCATTCCCCTGAGGCCTCACCTCGCCGTTGGAGCTGGCACCAAGGGTGGAGAGGATGGGGCCGAGGGCTCTGTTGGGCATGGCCAACAGTGAGGTGCCCGTGTCCACGATGGCCTGGCAGCCGAGGGAGCAGGCGACGGCCTCCTCACCGATGGAGACGCTGGGGAGAGAGAGGGGCAGGGGATGAAGGGCTGCGACCCCCCCAAAAACCCCAGCTGGAGGGCGAGGTCAGCCAGCGAGGCTGGGGGCTGCGCCAGGACTACCTGTCCATGGTGATCTGCCAGTAGGTTTCGGCGGAGAGGGGGATCCAGGTGATGCCATTGGTGGTGTAGAAGGGGTCAATGGCGCCAAAGAGGACAAAGCTGCCACTCTGCCCATTCCTGCAAGGGGGGAGCAGTCAGGTTGGGGGTGCCACCCTCTTCTGCCAGTGCCGATTCTGGCAACGGTGAGCCATGTCCCTCCAGGAGCCATGGGGTGTCACGGTGCCAAGAGCCAGCCCCGGTGGGAGGCAAACGGGTGAAAATCCTCAGCGAGGGCTGGGTGGCTCCAGCCAGGGCTTACTTGCTCAAGTAGACAGAGAAGAGGTCCTGGGCCACGAGTCCTTCCTTCATCATGTTGTCGAAGACAGGGGTGGCTCCGGAGGAGGCGATGCTTGGGAAAGCCAGCCCCAAGATGCCATCGAAGGGGACGTAGTAGAAGAAATCACCAGGCTCAGTCTCAGCCAGCCCAAAGATCTGGTTGAGGACCTCGATGTCCGCAACCTGGTCGGGGAGACGGGGAGAAGGAGAAGGGTTTGGTTTGGTGCCCTGGTGTCCCCACTCCCGTGGGGTAGGGGGAGGCCGGTGCCTTACGGTGACGGTGTCGTAGCCCAGGATGCCGGTCATGCTGCCGGTGCCGTAGGCGATTTCGAGGCTATCGTTGGTGCTGATGAAGGTGGAGGACTCCGCTGGGTTGAAGCGGTTGTGGTTCGCTGTGGGTACGGGAGGGAGAGAGTCATGGCCCGGCCTGCCCTCAGGGACCACGAGTGCCTCCCCCCATCGCCCAACGTCCCGTGGGAGAGACAAGGCAGAGCCATCCTCGGCTCCCAGTCCCCCCAGGGCTCCCAGAGCCAAGCAGGGCAGGGGGCTGGCCAAGCCTGGGGCTTCCCCTGCCTTCACCCCTCGTCCAGTGGCCACGGGGGCTGCTGGACACTTACTGCAAGCCGGGCTGGAGCAGTACACGGAGGGAACCCACAGGTTGGAGGAGCCGGTGTCAAAGACAACTGTGAATTCCTGGGCTGGGGAACCGATGGAGATGGTGCCGAAGTACTCATTCTGTCAAAGAGGGATGGGTAAGGGGCTAGGGAAACGGGTGAGGGGCTAGTGGGATGGGTGAGAGGCTGGTGGGAAGAGTTGCTGGGTTAAGGGAATGGTTAAGGGGCTAGTGGGATGGGTGAGGGGCTGGTGGGAAGAGTTAAGGGGTAAAGGGAATGGCTAAGGGGTTAGAGGGATGGGTAAGGGGCTAGTGGGATGTGTAAGGGGTTAAGGGATTGGGTAAGGGGCTAGTAGGATGGGTAAGAGGTTAGGAAAATGGGTGAATGGCTAGCAGGAAGAGTTAACAGGTTAAGGAAATGGCTAAGGGGTTAGAGGGATGGGTAAGGGGCTAGTGGGAAGGGTGAGGGGCTAGTGGGATGTGTAAGGGGTTAAGGGACTGGGTAAGGGGCTAGTAAGATGGGTAAGAGGTTAGGAAAATGGGTGAGGGGCTAGTGGGAAGAGTTAATGGGTTAAGGGAATGGGTAAGGGGTTAGAGGGATGGGTAAGGGGTTGGCAGAATGGGTAAGGGGCTAGTGGGATGAGTGAGGGGCGAGGGGACAGGAGTTAAAAGGGTTAGAGGGACAGGGAAGGAACTAGTGGCATGGGTAAAGGGCTAGCAGGGTGGGTAAGAGGTTAGTAGGTCGGGGAAGGGACTAGGGGGATGGGTGAGGGGCCAGGGGTCCCCTGGGCTGCCCCGCCATGCTCACATCCAGGTAGTTCTGCAGGGGCTCGGTGGAGGCGCGGGTGGCGAAATACTTGGTGGCCGGGTTGTAGGGGTGCTGCTTCAGGTAGTGCTCCAGCAAGCCGTGCTCCTGCAGGGACTGCCGCAGGGACTTCCCCCTCCGCAGAGGGGCCCTGGGGGGGCGGGGGGGGCAGAGGAGGGGGGACCCGATCTGTCAGTGGGAGCCAGGAGTGTTTTGGGGGGGGCTGCGGGTACCCCTGCCTCGCACTCGCCCCGTGCCACGTCCCACAGTCCCTCATGTGGGACCGCGGGGACTCACACATGTGGGACATGGCAATGGCTTAGCTGGGGGCGGGGGGGGGGGGGCCTGCAGGTTGCCCTCCCCCATCCCCATCCCCTGCTGGGAGCTGGGCAGCCTCCCCGCTTGCTTGTGGGGACCCCAGTGCTCACCTGAAGACACGGCACTGGGCCACGGCCACCAAGACGAGGAGCAGGAGCAGCTTCATGGTGCCTGCTAACAGACACCGGGGCCGAGGCAAAGAGAAACACCGAGTGTGCTGCCAGCCCCAGCCCGGCTCCTTATATCCCAGCCACGTTTGTTTGGCCAGCGTCCCCGATAACAAAGGCAAATGGCTCCGGGGGAAGTTATCACAACGTCCTTAAGGGAGACGGGGCAGGGGGGGGGCAATGTCAAACTGAGGACTCTCCATCTTCACCGGGGTCAAACACCGGGGCCGGGGCACGAGGATGCTTGCGGCAGGCTGGGGCAGGGAGAGAAGCACCTTCCAGTTACTCTGTGACCCGAGAAGGGTGGCACTGGGAGACGTGGGGGGCTGGTGAGGGGGACTTGGGGCTGGCTGTGGCCATTTTTGGGTATTTCCCCCCACCCTCCATCTGCCCACCCATGCATTACACAAGCCGACAACACCGCTGTGGCTGAGGAACCACAGCAACCGCGGGCCATTAGATAAAAGCGTTTATTTTCTATTTGGCTCTACCTGGCCATGGTAGCCACCGCAGGGGATGACATTTTCGCCAGCCCCAGGGGGAGCTGCGGTACGAAGGGTCCTGGGGCTGCTCCGCACCATCCTTGCCCTGCTGCAAAAAGCAGAGTTTTTATCTGCAGGGGTTTGTCAGGGTGGGGGCCAGCATGGAGACGTGGGGCTGGCACGGGAGCACCGGTCCCTCGGAGTCCCCTGGTCGTCCCCTCACCAGCTCCTTGCTGGAGGAGCTGCGCTGCTGGGGTCTGGCTTAGACTCACAGATCACAGACTGGTTTGGGTTGGAAGGGACCTTAAAGATCATCTGGTTCCACTCCCCCTGCCCAGAGCAGGTCCCCTTTCCCCCAGCCCAGGGTGCTCCCAGCCCCGTCCAACCTGGCCTGGAACCCTTCCAGGGAGGGGGCAGCCACAGCTGCTCTGGGCACCCTGGGCCAGCGCCTCACCCCCCGCACAGGGAAGAATTTCTTCCTAATATATCATCTAAATCTCCCCTCTTTCAGTTTAAAACTGTCACCCCTCATCCTATCCCTACCCCCTGATCCAGAGTCCCTCCCCACCTTTCCTGTCCCCCCCTTTAAGCACTGGGAGGCCGCTCTAAGGTCTCCCCAGACCCTTCTCTTCTCCAGGCTGAACCCCCCCAACTCTCTCAGCCCGGCCTCCCAGGGGAGCTGCTCCAGCCCCCCCAGCATCTTCGTGGCCTCCTCTGGCCCCGCTTGAGCAGCTCCATGTCCTTCTGATGCTGGGACTTCATCCATCTCCATCTGTCCCAAGGCTGCCTGTGGAACTGGGACCCACTGAGGGGTGAAACTGGGACCGGCTAGGGGAAAGACCAGCTTGGGATGCCACTGATTGTACAATGCCAAGGTCGCCCGTGCTGGGCTGCGTCAGAGGTGCCCGGTGCTGGACCAGGCGTCCCGGCCTCCGTCACAGCAGCACGTGAGTGAGATGTGGCTGCCAGCACGGTCACCTTGTCCTGGAGGAAAACAAAGCCAGACCCTGCAGCAATGAGCTGGGGACCAGCCTTCCCAGAGGCACCGTACGGGCTGGAGCTGGTTTTCCTCCCTCGGTACCAGTTTCACCCCAGCTCTGAATAATAAAATAGAGGATAGATGCTAAATTGCACCAGGACAATTAAATGAATCAGAACCTGTTAGGATCTGATGGGGGGTGTTGGGGGAAAAGGGATGAAACACCTAATTCTCCCTGAGCAAAAAGGAAGAGTTTGGAGGTGGGGGTCTGGAAAGGAAAAGGTCTTGGCTGGACCAGGCAAGAGGCCACAGCCTGAAAAACCAGAGTGGAGCCTTGGCATCGCGTTCCCCACTGGCCTCGTGAGCCAGCCTGTGCCTTCAGATAGCTGGGAACTACAGAGAAAATCAGAGATTAGGCAACAGCATCTACTCCAGGCTTTGCTCCCCTACTCCATGGAAGGCAGCAGCACGTTTTGATGAATACGAGCTCCGATAAGGAGCAGCCCTAGCAAAGGGGCTGGTCACTGCAAATACATCCTTGCTGCGCTACACGGGGGAAACCTTTATCTGTAGAAGGTTATCAGAGCAGAGTGCTCGAGGACGTGTCCCTCGGCGGGGAAGCTGCCGTAGCCAGCTGCCTTGGGACTGCTCCGACGGGCTGTTAGATTGCATTTCTTTCCCCCAACACACTGGGTCTCTGCACGCAGGGAAAAGACTGTTCCTGCCAGGCAAAGCCTCTTTCCTCACAGCACGCAGGGGCTCGGGGTGATTTGCCAAGGCTGTTGCAGGTATTAGGAACAGCTGCTGCAAATCCTGTTGGTTTATAAGGGAGATTCAGTGCTCGCTCTGCCTGGCTCTTGCTTGATTGCTCTGTGTTGGGAGCCCTTTGTAAGCTGCTTTTGCACCTCGGTGCTGGTGGAAGGCAGAGGCAGGACCCCTGCAGAACCTGGATCTTCAGTGGCACTGCTTTTGGGGGCCAGTTTGGAGAGCTGGCAAAGCCCAGCACATAGTGGACCAGGTCTTCCCATGTTGCAGCCCGGAGCTCTGTTCAACCTGCTGGCAGCTTTGAAGGATGGCAAGTTTGCTATCAGCACCCCAGGAGACATCAAGTTTTCAGGGTTTGTTTGTTTAGTTGGTTGGTTTTTTTTCCCCCAGGTTCCAGCCAGCAGCTGGGTTGATGGAGAGGATCCAAGCTGCAACTCAAAACGTCTCAGACAGTGCAATAAAAGTAGATTGGATTCTCCAGAACAGCCTCCTGAACGGGAAAGGTGAGTGTCCCCAGCAGTCCCCATGCCCCAAACCTTATGTGTTATGCAGTTGCAATAGGGAGAGCCAGCCAAGCTTCCCACAAAAAAAAAAAAAAAAAAAAGGTAAAATTTGTCACATCCATTTGCTCTCCACGGATTGAGACCTGGAGCTTCCTCCAGGGAGGCTGCTCGGGAGCTGCTGGGCTCAGAATGTGCTTTATGCCGGGGAAGATGATGCTGCAGGAGGCCCACGGGAGCTGGAGTGGGCTGTGGGAGGTGGTGGCTGGAGCTTTGTAAGGCCAGTAGCCACGGGCACGCGTTGGTGTGGCTCCTGCATCAGAGAGCCTGTGGTGAAGGTCCTGCTGGAAGGTGGAAATGGTCTGTGGTCCAGCCCCGCAGCGGGGAACGGGAGGTAACTGGTAGGTGGGGAGCGATGCAGCGGGGGAGCAGGGCGGTGAGTGGCCCCCCTCTCCTCGGGCAGGGACGGGGGTCCCAGTGACGCTGGGGTGGAGGTTCCTCTGTTTGTGGGGAAAGGTGTTAGCGGGGACCTTGGTTCAGCAAAACGTGTCTGCGCAGGGTGGGGTGGTGGAGGGCGAGCTGCCTCCACGGCGTCCGTCTGCACGGACGCTCACCCTGCACCGATTTTGGTAACGAGCAGGGAAACTGCTCTGAGAAATGGAAAGCTGAAAGGCAGTAACATTTCCAGTGTTCAGTACTTCCTTGGGAGCTAGGTTGGGCTTTGGGGACTGAAGTCTGGACTTGCTGTCGTGCCTCTCTTCAACCTGGTTTCCCTTGCTTTTAAGGCTGCTAAGTTTTGCTATTTTTATTTTTTTTGCCAGAAAATTAGAGGAAACAAAGATGACAAGTTTTTTTAACAGCTGTTTATCAACATAATTATTTTTTTTTTTTGCCAGTCAGTCAGCTCATTCAGACCGCTCTGGGCGCAGAAGGCAGGGACTAACCTGTGCTCTCATGGCAGCCCTCTCTGGGCAAAGAAGCTGTTTGGGGTGGACGTTCTCCTTGTGTTTAAAAAACAAACTGGAAAAGCCTCAAGCTCAGGACCGGCATTTTAGTGAAATGTAACTTGTTTTGTAATGTTAGGAAAATAAAACTTGTTTTATTCTGTAACTTGGTTACCCTGGCAGCAATAGGTTTGCCAGCAACTAAAGCTCCCTTGCCCAGAGCAGCAAAGGGAAAAGCTGCAGCAGCTGAATGTCTGCTCCCTTTGCATAAAAAGGTACATCCTGTGTTTCTGGGCTGATACACAGGCCTCTGGGTGAGCTGGCCTCTTCTGAATGCCCAAACTGTAGCCCAAACTTTGGGGATTTTATCATGTAACGAAGACTCAAAACAATTTTCCAATCTTTTACTGCAGACCCCTTACTGCACGCAGTTGTTGGTGAATCGGAGCTCCCCGTGCAAAGTTGTAGACACTGAGGATTGGGATTTCATTTTTTTCAATGGAAAGAAATAATTTGTCAAAATAGGGGAAGTTTGGGGATGAGCTCATTATTCTGTCAATAGATCCCATCACCAGGAGCCAATGAAAAACTGTACGTATTCAGGCAGGCATTGATATTTTTGGATGTATCATTATACACAGAATGAAGAAGTTGTGGAATTCAGCATCAGGAAAAAAAAATCTGAGAACTAATATTTAGCACCACTAAAGTCAAGAACAAAAGAAATGGGGGAGGATGGAAAAGAATAACCTTTAGGGTACAAAATGACTTTCCGTTAGGGCTACAGAGATGCCCTCTCAGATGATAAACCCTGAAGTGCATCTGATGACTAGAGGGAAGGTTCAAGAGCAGGTCAGCCAGCCCTGGGCACTGCACAGCTCTCAGCACGGACAGGGCAGCGTCGTTCCCTTCAATCTTGGTGGCTCATTTCTATGGGAAGGGTTTTGCTGGAGAAACACACTGGCTTGGTCTTTCCTGGGCTGGAAATGGTAGTGGCTCGTGCTGGTAGCTCCAGAGTTAAGGGTCCTCTCCCTCCAGGACCTGGCTCTCAGCCCTGATCCCCCCAGGGCAGGTTCCCTGCAAGGAGGAGGGAGGACAGATGGATTTTAGCATCTTCCTATTGCATGGGTGACAGTGTGACTCCGCATCTGCACCTCTTTCCTCAGCCTTTTCCAGCCAGGCTCCCTTCAGTCTTTATTATTACGGTTTTGGAGCCCTCTGGGGAACCTCAGACCCCTTGAGTTTGGAGGCAGATGTATCGCGACCCATCTGTCACTTAAAGCCCTTCCAGCCTCGTGTGCTGGGAGGAGGGAAATCAGCAGCACAAAGAGCCCGGTGGGTTCACCGTGTTGTTGAAGACGGG